ATTAAAGTCCTCATCTAATGTCTCACTAAAGTATTAAAGTCTTCATCGAATCATCTGTGATTTGTCTTCTAAACATTAACTGTATAATTCAGTGAAAATACTATGTTACAGTAAAAGTACTTATATCACACTATATAAATACTGTGTTCTAGAAAAAGTACTAGTACCACGCTGTAAAAATACTTTGTTACAGTAGAAGTACTAATACCACACAGGAAAAAGTACATTTAAGGCCCTATATAGTCATGAATAGAGTTTTAGTTTTCAGAATTATAGATCATCTGAAATAAATAAAATGATCTAATAATCCATTAACGTTCTCGTGTTTTAATTGATTTTCATCAACATTATAATTTAACTCAAACTAAAATCTTTTAAATCAAAGTTGACAAAACTTTCGATTATTTGTTTATTGATTAGTCGAATATTTATCTTTAATGTTTTATACTTAAAGACTCGGGATTCAATTTACTGCATCTGTAACTTTGTTCTGATAGGTGTTATATATTTATTATTATTATTATCGTTATAATTATTATATTATTATTATTATATATGTTTTCTTTTATTAATGAGTCATCCGGTCATCAGAGGTCATTCGGAGCCAGTTAACGTCACACCCGTGACGTCGTCCGGAGGCTGAAAGGTGGGCGGGGCCGTCTACCCAAACATCCCGCGCGCGGCGGAGCAGCGCGTGAGCCACAAACAGCTGGAGCAGAGACAGAAACGCAGCTCGCGGAACTTTGTTCTCCTGACTTTTTTTTTGGCATCATGTGGGCGCGAGCTGTGCTGCTCGCGGCGCTGCTGTCCGCGCTTTGCCCGACGGGAAGTACGGAAGCCGAGAGGGACGAGAGGGACGTCCAGGACTACGGCTACTCCAACTCCAACAGACTGGTCAGTTACTGCGCAGAATACTGCGCAGAAGTACTAACATTTTATTATTTACTATTTATTGGTGTTCAATGTTGTTTTTTTTACCATAACCAATTTAATAGTTTATAATAATAATAGTATTTAGTAATACATAAAATCTGTAAGGATTAATCCATTATTCAAATATTCAGCAATATTTTAGATGTTTATTGTTTCCAGAGTATGTTCTTTGTTTAATTTTTATTTAATATATAATATATACTATTCAAAATATAATATATCATATTTAATATATAATGTTTAATATTGAATATAAACTATTACATATTGAATATTTAATATACAATATAAAATATTGAATATAAACTATTTAATATTGAATATTTAATATTGAATATATAATATATACATATAATGTTCATTTAATCACAGAACAATCACAGTTGGTGATTTTAAAGTAATTAATCTGCTTCTCACAAACATTAAATAAAGACTTTATTTATTTTATAAAAGTGGAGCAGCAATAATTAAACAATTAAGAAAAATGTATCTGCAACTAAATATATTTATTTATTAATTGTTAAAACTAATAATCTGGAGTCAGTTTGAGGATTTTATTTTTACATTTTATTCATATTATTATAAACTGAATACGTGTGATCAGATTTATTATCTATTACAGTAAATTAAATATATTTTGGTATTTGTTGATTTATGGATGAAAAAATAAAATGCAGAAAGTAGATTGTTGTATGAATATAGATCAATAATAGTCTTTAATATAAAGTCAGAATTCATTCATTCATGTTGGAACTTTTTACTCTTTTCTAAACAAATAGAATTCTTATGAATTATTTTGATGAAACCACTGAACGGTTCTTTAACATCTTAATGGACAAAGATTGATTTATTTCAATATATTTATTGTATATTTAGCAGTAATATTCAACATTACTGTGTTGTTTCATATTATGTTTGTACTTCAATGAAACATTAAAGGACTAAAACTGTAATTAAGTTCATAATTAGACATTCAATGATTTAATAACAGGGACCAGACGAAGTACTCAGAAGTACTAATACCACAATGTATCTTTAGTACAAAATATACTTCCAAATGTACTTACAGTACCTAAAAGTAAAAGTACTCATTATGCAGAATATATACTATATTATTATAATTATTGATGCATTAATGAGTACATCACTTTAATGTTGCAGTTGATATTTTGTGAAGCTCCTTAATAAATAATATGAATAATTATATTTTGTATTATTAGTCAGAGCAGTAAAAACTACAATACTCACCTCTGAGATGTAGTAACGTAGAAGTAGAAGGAAATATTCAAGTTAAGCATGAGTACCTCAGAACTGTGTTTAAGTACAATACTAAATGTAGTACTGCTGGTGTTTGATGCACTCATTGTATCTGTTGGAAGATGGAAGCTTTATGACGTGTGTGTGTCTGTCTACGTGTGTGTGTGTGTGTGTGTGTGTGTGTGTGTGTGTGTGTGTGTGTGTAGCTGGGAGCTCTGCATGAGGTTCTGGAGAAGCTTCAGACGAAGAGGATCAATCCGTGGGAGAAGAAGTACGGACAAGTTCCCTCAGTGAGTCTCATCAACACATTATTATTATTATATTTACCTCTGGAGGTTTCTAGAAGTCTTTCATTACTAAATGACAAAATGTTTCATATTTAATCTTTAATGTTTTATAAACACTACTGTCACTCGTTTTTACTTTATTTGTTCTGTATATTATCTATTTTATGTTTATGTTACTCATCACTTATTCTATGTATTAGTTTATTCTATACATTCATTTATATATTATTCATAACATATTTTTATTTTATATATCATATCATACACATAGATTATATATATATATATATATATATATATATATATATATATATATATATTTATTCATTATTTATTCCATGTATTACTCTGATCTTTACCTGCAGTGACATCTGAGTAACACACTAAAAGTACAATGTAGCATTAAATAAAAACAGAGTACACAGTTCTGTATTTAAATACACAGTATTCTATTTTAATCAAGTACTCTTGTATTTAAATACTCACCAACGTGTTTGCAGTGAAGCCGAAGAACCAAGAATCACATCTTTAGAACGTTACGTCTAATATAAGACGTGTTGCTCACACGAATGATGTGTGTGGTTCTCTCCCTCTGTGGTTCTCTGTTCTCAGTGTGACCTGGGAGAACACTGCGCGGTGAGGAAAGGTTCTCGTATCGGGAAGATGTGCGATTGTCCTCGAGGAGCTTTCTGTAACTTCTTCCTGCTGAAGTGCTTATGAGCCAATCAGAGCCCAGAGTCTATTTTAACATGTTTATGTATAAACTTGTGTGAAGTAGCTTTAGAGGAGTTAATCCTTCATGAATATTCATTGGTGCATTAAAGGCGTTTTATCTGAAAACTCTTTGATTTATTAAAATCATGTTTGAAATATTAAACAGGTTTTATAATTATACACGACTCATTTACATATTTATAAACTGGGAGAAAAAAGTGTTTTTGCTTGTGCTTTAGTCATTATTGAACTAGTGCTGGGCAAGTTAACACATTATCGCGTTAACGCAGTTTTTTATTTATTATTAAACGACATTTTTAACACAAGAACCGGCAGCGAGCGGTGAACAGCTGTTTGTGTGGCGTCTATTCCGTCTCTTCCTGTTTCCTTCACCTACACTCCCCTGGGTCCTAAGTCCCTCCATGTACAGCTTCTTATCACCCTCTATGTACCAACGTACATTTATAACAAATACCACACATATTACGGTAATCAGCGTTGCATATGTGTCTGACCTAAATACCACAAAAAAGAAATGATTCATTAAAATTATTGTTTGAGTTTTTAAAGTGTTTTGTTTGTAATATGTATAATAAACATCATTTAGTATCACTACTGAGAATTTAACAAACATAAAAACATGACGTAGATAGTTTTGCAGTTTTCAAGAAGTACAGTGGGTATGGAAAGTATTCAGACCCTTTGCTCAGTATTGAGTAGAAGCACCCTTTTGAGCTAGTACAGCCATGAGTCTTCTTGGGAATGATGCAACAAGTTTTTCACACCTGGATTTGGGGATCCTCTGCCATTCTTCCTTGCAGATCCTTAATTAACGCCAAAAAGTTCAATCTTGGTCTCATCAGACCAGAGCATCTTATTTCTCATAGTCTGTGCGGGCTCTGCGGGCTTTCATATGTCTTGCACTGAGGAGAGGCTTCCGTCGGGCCACTCTGCCATAAAGCCCCGACTGGTGGAGGGCTGCAGTGATAGTTGACTTTGTGGAACTTTCTCCCATCTCCCTACTGCATCTCTGGAGCTCAGCCACAGTGATCTTTGGGTTCTTCTTTACCTCTCTCACCAAGGCTCTTCTTCCACGATTGCTCAGTTTGGCTGGACGGCCAGGTCTAGGAAGAGTTCTGGTCGTCCCAAACTTCTTCCATTTAAGGATTATGGAGGCCACTGTGCTCTTAGGAACCTTGAGTGCTGCAGAAATTCTTTTGTAACCTTGGCCAGATCTGTGCCTTGCCACAATTCTGTCTCTGAGCTCCTTGGGCAGTTCCTTCGACCTCATGATTCTCATTTGCTCTGACATGCACTGTGAGCTGTAAGGTCTTATATAGACAGGTGTGTGCCTTTCCTAATCAAGTCCAATCAGTTTAATTAAACACAGCTGGACTCCAATGAAGGAGTAGAACCATCTCAAGGAGGATCAGAAGAAATGGACAGCATGTGAGTTAAATATGAGTGTCACAGCAAAGGGTCTGAATGCTTATGACCATGTGATATTTCAGTTTTTCTTTTTTAATAAATTTGCAAAAATTTCTACATTTCTGTTTTTATCTCTCAAGATGGGGTGCTGAGTGTACATTAATGAGAAATAAAATGAACTTTTTTGATTTTAGCAAATTGCTGCAATGAAACAAAGAGTGAAAAATTTAAAGGGGTCTGAATACTTTCCGTACCCACTGTATGTTTAATTATCATCTCTTACATGCATGAAGATAAAGTTGTGAACACCGGCTGAATATCTATGATCAGAATCATTATAACTGTGTTATAACTGCTGTGTAAAGGGAATACTGCTGCTAACAAGAACCTGATGTGTTTAAAGTGTTTAAACAAATGTTATTCACCTTTAGTTCATAGAGCAGTACTTTAAAATAAAAGTGCACAATACACTACTTTTAAATTCATTATTGGACTTTGCCATAACAATGAGATTAATCATGATTAAACATTGTAATTGTTGCCCAGCACCAATATATTCTCATTATTATTATTTATTACTTGACCAATAAAAAGTACACGAGGCCTTTTCTCAACCAAAATCACCTAAATATGTAATTTTACTTAAAATCCCTCATCTCCATACTTTAAATGATGAAGAACGAGGTTTAAATGACGTTAAAACACTTTTTCATCTTCAGAGCAAAACTATAAAATAAATAATAAAATGATTAAAAACCTTTAAAATCACTTCTATGAGTTACAGAAGCTTCTGATATTAAACACACTGAACCAGAAGTAAATAAAGTAAAATAGAGTAAAAATAAATAGAGTCAAATAAATAGAGGTTTAACAGCAGTGGAGTCGACCAATCAGCAGGCTTTTCGTCCCCGGAGGGTTTTTATTAGTAAGATACTTTACAGACGTCTAGACTCCTCGAGGCTGCTTGAAGTTCATGCCGACGGTCGGCTGGGTCACCTGCAGGTTAGACAGACCGCCGAAGTCCTGAAGAACAGAAGAAGAACCTCAACACCAGAGCTCATACAGCTTCAGGGTCTGATATGAACAGTTAATGAGACCTGAGACCTCTACACCAGGGCTCATGGAGGAAACATCAGGTCTACGGTCTAACACTGTGTGAGGGCTTCAGGGTCTGAGAGGAACAGTTAAGAGCTGGTCTGAGACCTCTACACCAGGGCTCATGGAGGAAACATCAGGTCTACGGTCTAACGCTGTGTGAGGGCTTCAGGGTCTGAGAGGAACAGAGGATCCTTCAAACACGGGAAAGGCTCTCAGGTTGATCTTCCTGTACTATCAATGACCTGACGACGAGGACGTCATGAACACTTTCGATACAGGAAGTAGACACTTTAAGCAACGTGTTTAAACTTTAAGAGTCTGATCACTATTAAGTTTAACATTTTGAAGTTCAGGTCTGATCATCACTCATAGCAGCTCGTTACGTTTCCTTTGATGTTCTGAAGCATCAAAGGACGTTTAACACTTTACCTCAGAGTGTGTTTTATATTTAATCTCAATCCTTCAGTTTATCTTAACTCCTTATACTGACTGAGCTGCTCTGATGAGGTATTAATACACAACTCTAGTAATCAGTGGTAGAGGTACTAATACCACACTTCACGAATGTAAGCAGTACTTTAATATCACATAGAATACATTTTATAAACACTCTGCAGCTGTCAGATAAATGAAGTAGTAGAGTATTTAAATACTGAAGTACAAGTACCTCGGTTACTTCCCACTGCAGTAAACTGTAAACTGAAGAGACTCACCAGCAGCTTCAGCATCTCCTTTGTGTCGGGATCAACTTCAATGAGCTCCTGGTCCAGAGCCGACACCTGCACAGGTGCACAAGTACAACACGGTTAAACACCCAGGTGCACAACAACCAGGTAAACCCACAGATGAGAGTTACAGCACGTCTCATCTGTGTCTGTTTCTTCCTCCTCCCTCTCTGTCCCTGAATGCATCATTTCACTGAACATTTGAGTCGAGCTTCAGCAGAAGACTAATCTGCAGATATTTATAATAATCCATAAATCATTCAATATGTCAGGACATTTAAAGACGTCAGCTTTGACAGTTTAATAGTTTCTAACTTTCTTTAGACTGAACTGTTATAATAATCAGATCAATGATAATAAAGACAATCATAAATATACAATAGTTGCAGCGATACGACGAGCCTCAGATGTACGACATTAAAAAAGATTAAATTCAGACTCATGTTGGAAAGATTGAGACGAACACAACAACCTCTGACCTCAGGATGAAAGGAAAAATGATTTATGTTCAAAATATTTAAACTCAACTAAACTCACTCCGAGTTTAGTTTCTACTTTTTATCTAATTTAGGAAAACTATCCCCTCATAAAAATGAAAGGTTAGTAAGAGATTTTATGTTTTTAAACAAGTATTTCAGTGTAAAATATCTCCAAAGTACAGCGAGAACTTAATATTTATTATTCTAAAAATATATTCACATCAGGTTTAAACTTATGAAACATCAGATTTAAAAGTTATATAAACATCAGGTCTACGGTCTAAAGCTGTGTGAGGGCTTCAGGGTCTGAGAGGAACAGAGGATCCTTCAAACACGGGAAAGGCTCTCAGGTTGATCTTCCTGTACTATCAATGACCTGACGACGAGGACGTCATGAACACTTTCGATACAGGAAGTAGACACTTTACATTAATGTTCATGTGTCTCATGTAATAATAATAATAATAAAGCTCTTATCCATCCATCAAACACAATGATGAGGATCTTCTATAATACTTAAATCTGCAATATGTTCATCTCGTTAGATTTCCTGAACCCTAAAACCTGCCAGCAGGATGGAAACGTTTTGTTAAACAATCACTAAAACTACATCATTTATCAGCCATTATTGTCAGATTTTCATCTTTCTGACGGCCCTTGAACACATCATGTGTGACCAACGCTTCTGATAGAAAAAAGCAAAACAAAACATTTTATTCTTCATGTTCTCATATAAATGTCTCCTCTAATAAAGCCTTCACTTTAACCAGAGTGTGAAAAAACATTAAACTGTGAGCTCCTCAGTGAAACTATGAAGTCATGAGAGGAGAGAGAAGAGGAGGAGAGAGGAGAAGAGGAGAAAAGGAGAGGAGGAGAGAAGAGGAGGAGAAAAGGAGAGGAGAAGAGGAGGAGAGAAGAGAGGCTGAAACATGAATCGTTTAATATTAATATTTAAAGCCTCATTTTGTCTGCCAGCGTTAACACTTGTGAACAATGTTGGATATTTAGATTTCATTGTTTTCCAACTTCATAATATAAATGATCAAAGGAATGAAACTTGTTTCTGTTATTGAATGATTCATGTCATGACTGCTCCACAGGACCTGTTTAAGTTCTCTCTACTTCTAGATGTGGTGGCGTTTCCATAGAACGTAAAACGATGACACAGAACTGATCATAGTTCAATAACTCACAATATTTTACATTTTCTCTACAAACTGCAGCTCAAAGGACGACCAGAGAACCACGACGTTTGATTTGTGTTATTAACAGACGTCAGTCACCGCCAGGGTAACCTCTCCTGTGTTCATGGTGGAACCAAAGAACCACCACAGTGTCTCAGGTGCGTTGGTGGTGCGTTCACTGACCTCAGGCACGTAGTTGTCCCTCCTCTCTCGCTCCTCCTCCTGCAGTTTGATGGAGATTCCTCTGACTGGACCTCTCTGGATCCTCTTCATCAGATGTGTCACATACCTGCAGCAGCATCACAGAGACGTGAACATCCACACCGAACAGGAAGTGAGTGTAACCAGAGCTCATGGAGGAAACATCAGGTCTATGGTCTAAAGCTGTGTGAGGGCTTCAGGGTCTGAGAGGAACAGAGGATCCTTCAAACACGGGAAAGGCTCTCAGGTTGATCTTCCTGTACTATCAATGACCTGACGACGAGGACGTCATGAACACTTTCGATACAGGAAGTAGACAGACGTCATTATATGAACTATTTAAACGTGTTAAACTGACCCGGCGATCTTGTTGCGGAGCTTCTTGCTGGGGATGATGGCGATCTCCTCACAGACCCTCTTGTTGGTGTGGAAGTCGCTCCCCAGTCGGGTGTAGTACTTCTCGATGATGACCCGGGCGGCCTTCTTCACCGTCTTGGTCCTGACTCGTCCCTGAAGGAAGAACGCCAAACAATCTATTACAATTTAAATAAAGAAATCACAGGCGGCCATCTTGGTATAGATTTCAGAGTCTCAACACATTATGAAAGAGGACAGAGACAGATCAGCTGTGACTCTTTGCTAATTTTCAGATATATTTTGCAGAAGTCTCGTTCATCTCCAGACATGTGGAGCATTAAATATGAATGTGACGCAATATTACCTGAATGGATGAGACGAACCATCACGGTTCATAAATACATGTCATAAACAATAACACTCAGAGCCGATAAACTACACAACACTTCGGCTGCATGTTCCGTGTTATTTACACGACCACCGAGCAGACCGGAGATGGTTAAACCAGTGTTTCCCGGTGAGATGCTCGGTAATGGTTGCTAGCCGAAGCTAACTCCAGTTTAGCCTCGTAAGCTAACCGTGGGTGATGTATATTAGCGGTTAAACGCTTGAAATGCCCGTGTTTAACCCACTGAACGACATTATTATTCTACCGTTCCGGTTCTTTAGACAGATACAAATCTGACTGAGAACCGCTTCTCATTCAGCGGCTCCGCTCCTTCTCCTAGCGGCAGTTTCTCAGCTACAACACCGCAAACTAATCGCTCTTATTCGAGTCATCTAACGTCAATACTTTGATATGCTGGTGAATTGAACTCTCCGGTGTCCGTGGATTAAATTAGTGATGAACAAACAGCCTCAGAACGCGAGGATTAGTTTAGATTAGTCAGGTAGGCATGTGAAAAATACCCACCATGTTGGATCGGCCTGGTAAAAGAGACCGATCAGACTTCCGGCGGAAGTTTAAATCCACAGGCGGAAGTTGAGAAGGAAAACAAGCTGCAGGTGCTGCGCCCTCTGTCGGCCGGTAGACGCAACTACAACAACTACAATAATTTAGATCCTTTACTGAATTAAGAAAACATTAAAAATATAAAAAAATATATAATATATATATTTATACTGTACATATTTGTTATAGTATTGTTAAAGTATCCTTCTCATATTTTCTTATAATTTTTCTTATAATTTTATTTCCTCTATTTTTTTCTATTTTTATTTTCTGTGAAGCAATTTTGGCTGCATGTTTGTATGAAAGGTTCAATATTAATAAATAAAGTGGAGTTAAGATCACACTGTAAAAATATTTTTTAATTAAAAATTATTACTATCACACTGAAAATACACATTGTACTTTATACTGTACTACACCTCAGAGGTACATGTACTTTATACTATACTACACCTCAGAGGTACATATAGTACTTTATACTGTAGTACATCTCAGAGGTACATATTGTACTTTATACTGTAGTACATCTCAGAGGTACATATTGTACTTTATACTGTAGTACATCTCAGAGGTACATATTGTACTTTATACTGTACTACACCTCAGAGGTACATATTGTACTTTATACTGTACTACATCTCAGAGGTACATATAGTACTTTATACTGTACTACACCTCAGAGGTACATATTGTACTTTATACTGTACTACACCTCAGAGGT